TTTCAAGACCTCTAGATACGCCACTGCAAGGAAGATTGTGCACCATATTACGAAAAAACATTGGAAAAATATAAAAGGGAAGGAAAGGGAAAGAAACGAAATATGAGGAAAGAAAGGAATGAAAAGATTAGAAACATAAGAAATGAAAAGTAAGGTAAAAGAAAGATAAAAAAAGAAAAGAAAAGGAAACAAGAAGGATAAATGCAGAGATACGATATGAAAGTATAAGAAAGGAAAAGAAAAGATTAGGGAATATGTGAAAAAAAGATAAATAAAAAGAAAAGGAAATTCACGAAGGGAACAGGAGAGGGAAAGTAAAGGTACGAAAAAGAAAGAAACGAAAAGGAAAGAAAAGATAAGGAAACATAAGAAAGGAAAAGGAGAGAGAAGATAAGAAACGTAAGAAAGGAAAAGGAAAGAAAATATAGGGAAATAAAATGAAAAGGAAAAGTTAAGGGAACATAAGGAAAGAAAAAGAACTTGGGTTGGCAAGGGTTGTTGGAAGGAAAGAAAAGAAATTACAAGCCTAACACGTAAGAAAATGTAAACAATTGAATACCGGTAGATAAGAGATAAACTAAAATAAAATGGAAAAGAATAATGAAAAAGAAATGAGAGGTAATTGATAAAAACTTTTAAAAAAATAATAATTAAACAATTATTATTTAAAAACAAATCATAATATTAACCTGTTATTATTTTGATAAATTTCTGATTGACTTGATTGCACAAAGATGTTCGCTCATTTTTGATCATCTTTTCTTTTAATTTTGATCCGGGTTTTGCTTTTAATGTAAAGCGCATAAGGGTTTCTAGTATTATCTGCGCTATATAAAAATAAATTTATTAATTATTAATTATAATAATGATAATAATAATAATTATTATCATTATTATTATAATTATTAACGTTATTATTATTATTATTATTATTATTATTGCTATTATTATTATTACAAAGTCTCAGAATGAGGCATAAGGGTGGAGTTGCTTTAACAGTCATGAGGAAAAATCCTGCTCTTCTCACAGGCAGTGGCGTGATGATGAGGCCAGTGGCACTGTGGCTTTCTGAAACTGGGGGCTACTTTTGGGTCCTGGTTGTAGAAGTGGTTGGCGTATCGGTTGTGGCTTGGACTCCCAACCTTGAGGTCGCTTGTGTCCTTGGGCAAGGCACTTTATCTACGGTTGTCTCTCTCCACCCAGGAATACAAGTGGGTACCTGGTAGGTTCAAACACATTATGGGGCATGAGTGTTGTTCCATGTGCTTGATCCAGTGACCGGCGGTAATAATGTAAAGCGCATAGAGGTTAGTCTACAATACGCGCTATATAAGTCGGCAATCATTATTATTATTATTGCCAATTCTATCATGGGATTTTAGATGTGCTCGTTTTTTAAATTATGTTTCCATTGTTATTTTAAATATTTTTAACGACGATTAAATGATATGTCAATGGCAGATACAAATATTTTAAATAAAGGTGTCTTTCACAGTTGTAGAGTCTATACCACCTCAGCCCCATGGTTAATGGGGCCGAGGTAAGACAAATTATGATTATGGCACCTCTAGATAGTCAGAAATGGCACTCACAGACATAAAATTGTGAATATACTTTGACACATTTAGTGGAGCCCCGGGCCGGCAGGTTCCACCCCGCCCCCACCTTTTTATTCCACCCACTGGATATAAATATATGTCCTACGACCTACGGTCGATTTCAGAGACACATTATGCTGTTTTCCTGGTGGGGTTGAAATAAGAAAATGTATGATTATGTTACGTCTAGATGGCCGGAAACGGCACTCAAAAGACTTAAAATTTTTAATTTTTAATTAAAAATTTTTTTTTGACGAATTTGGTGGGGGTCCCGGGACGACAGGGCCTCCTCCCTTTAATTCGCCACTGGATATATGATATATGCCCTGTAGTCGATTTCATTGACACATTATGGTGTTATGTATCCCAACAAAATCCTTTTTGGTCAGGGTGCTAGATCGAGGAACCTATGGGGGACCATTCGAGACCCCTAGGGGTCGGGGGACAGCCGCAAGAGGGCACATGGGCGTTACGCCAATGTGACTTGTAGGAATTGAGCCCAGGACTTAGCTTATGTTAATGCAAAAATAGTGCCATATCATCATATAGGGGGAAAAAACAAATCACTGTATTTTACTTACTGTGTTATGTGTGTTCCGCTAGAGATTCTGTACGATTAATGACGAACTCTACACATATATACTGGCTGTGCAATTTAACTATGACCTCAAGGAGACAATTAATACTGTAAGACACCTATTAATAGACTTCAGTTAACGAGCTAAACATCAATGCCTGCTTTTCAGAAGCAAAAGAAATTTTGCATCATTTATTCCTCTCCATGGGGTCCTACACTTCAGTTAGTCGCCTCACTCAACACTAGGTGTTTTCTTAGACAAGTTGTTCTTTGAAGATGATATGCATAAACCTAATATCCACTATAATTCGGTACTAATTGGCATACCGGTGAGGAACTCTATTGAACTGATCTCGCCCTTCGGAAGGGGCATTAAGGATATACTGCCTTTGTACGTGGAGACAATAAGCTTTAATAATCAACTGAAAATACAAACAAGCAATATTTCTTTCGCCAGGAAACAAAACTGTTTCTACAGCATATTCCTTGCATAGCCTTCAACTCCGAAATAGGCTGGTATAATACTAAAGTATTTTTTATACTTAAACGGCCAATTAAAACTGAATTGTTTTGATCTGGTAGTTGATAAGTATTTGATCCTTTTAAAAATTCACATGTGAGCGAAGTGCGGCCCGCAGGCAGCATGCGGTCCGACAGGGGTTTTTTGCGGCCCGCCAAACGACTTTGGCTAGAAAAGACCTTGTCTTTTACGAGATGAAAAGTAATATAAAAACTGAGCATAAATCGGTATAAAAGCAGTGCAGTTGACTGGTTTACTTTGTGTACTTTGTTGTTTGAAATTGAGTGCCTACTACAGTATTAAAGTTAAATTAATTTCTTCCAGATCTCTTGACTGCTCCACAACGGTAAATCTTTTGTCTGTTCTGACCTCAATTCGAAGGCAAATATTCTTTATGCATTTTTTTACGAAGTATACAATTTATCAAAATTAAGTAGGCTATCACCAGTAAAATTTCTCTGAAAAAAAACATCGTAGATGCGATGTTGTTGTCGTGACCACACTGAGCATCAACTCAACCCACACTGATTTTCCGGGCAGGAAATTTGACTTGGACTGAGCCGAATTGATTATAAACATTACATACAGAGGGAGGCAGGACTAAGTGGGAGAGAAGCAAAGACTTTTTAGTAAAATTGACATTGGGGAACTGATGGGGGTGCGGATTATAAGTGGAGGGATTCGATTAGGTGGAAACAGCTAGCTAGAAATATAAGTTGATTTTAACTACATGATCATAATTTTTATGCTCTGCAAATTTCCAGTGGGGCACACAAGCATTTTGGATGGGTGAGGGTTTGCGCCCCCTCCCCCCTTCAACGCATTTCAGTAGATATGCCACTAAAAAGAGGAGCTAGAACCTCTGTGTTAATTATACGTGGCTGATTATTATAGATGTTTTTACGAGTGACACGATATTCCAATTAAACGCTACCATACACATTACCGCACTTGACTTTTGTAATGTATTTTTTTGTTGATTGATTTTGCAATTAAAAATTTTCACTTTTACATTCATAAAATTTGAAAAAAAAAAAAATGCATTAAAATACAAAGTTATTTATTTTTTGATGTAACATTATCAAAGGGCCAGAGCACAATGGAAGGTTGATCCAATATTGTTATTACAGTATTATTATGCATTTTTATTTGTAGTTGTGGTATGAAGAGTTAGGTAATATCAGATCTTGAAGTGGTGTTTGAACTTACAAGCTGATTTGTGGATCTTGACAAATCTTTTTCTTAAATTTTTCAATGATCTATCTTTAAATGCTTACAATGAAATCTGTCTCTTATACACATCTAGATGTGTATAAGAGACAGAGGATATACTGCCTTTGTACGTGGAGACAATAAGCTTTAATAATCAACTGAAAATACAAACAAGCAATATTTCTTTCGCCAGGAAACAAAACTGTCAAAATGAAACGCCAACAAATTTCTCATGATCTTTAATCAGAGATCTACTTAATATCCAGGACAACTTAGGCCTAATTATAGCTTACTAAGCTTTAACTATATATACTATATTATGATCAACAAATCACAACTTTTTTTCGCACTTAGCACAATTTTCTTCACTTTTTATTGTTATTAATATTAATATCAATTATTCCTATTGTCGTCATCATCATCATCATTGTTATTATTATTATTACTATTAGTAGTAGTATTATTAAACAAACATTTAAAGAAACTTGCAAAAGGATAAAATCGAAATTGAACCACAGTATCGCATTTCTATCTTAAAAGACCTGGCCTGAGATTTATGGATTTAAGATTTTTTTAATCACGTTTAGGCCTATGTGTTCTATTATGCCTATGTATAACGTGTACTGATGCATTTTTACATGTTTAGAAGTATTCATTTTGAGTGATCCCAGGAAAGAATTTGTATTGGCTCAAGAATAAGCTTTAAAATTTTAACACTGTGTACAAAGGGGGGGAGCCGCGGCTCCTACGGCTCCCCCCCCTGGATACGTCCCTGTATCAATCAATCAAAATAGAATGCAAAGCCACCATGCACTAATGTCAAACAAATTTGAAAGCAAACCTATTACTGTAATATACAAAGACAAAAGTGGTATATGTATTGTTTTAATTCTCAAATAACAAGAAAGCATTATCGCAATAGAGCTTGTGAAATAATAATATTGGGTAGTAATATGTACAGCATTTTTCCACATTATTACCCCAGTCATTTAAATGATGCCTACGGGGGAAATCCATAGTTAGCCACATGAAATATATCAGCACATTCTGCACTTGAACCTCCTCCAGGTACCAATTTATACTCTTGGGTGCCTCGCTCCAGGACACACAAGCAAACTGCACAGCAAGTCATTGAAACCCTCACCTCGAAGTTAGGAAACTAAACTGTTTATGCTGCACCAAACCACAGTGTTTAAAAAAATGTTTAATACTTAAAAAACAATAAAACAAATTAGGATGTACCAGGGTAGTTAGCAAGGATATAAAGTGCTCTTGGATAGTGGGGAAGGGGGTGGTAATATTTCCAATAGTTTCTGTGGTTTGGCCAAACACCCTTTTTGAAGGAACCACCTATGACAAACCATACCAGCTCCTTAAAACCCTTCAACATGATGATGACATTCACAATATACATGTTAGGCTATTTAGCTTCAG